GGCTGGCATGTGGTGCTGGGGGATTGAACCGTGGTCCCTGTGATTTGCCAAGCTTGTTCCAAGTAGGTGCTTTAGACCACTGAGCCATCTCGCCAGCCCCTCATCCCCTATCTTTTAAACTTATTTTTATTTTTGAAATAAGGTCTTGTAGGGCCCAGGGAGATAGCTCAGTAGAATAAACGCTTGCCTGGCAAGTGCAGAGTACTGAGTTCAATCCCTGGTACCTCAAAAAAAAAAAAAAAAAAAAAGAAAGAAAAGGAAAAGAAATAAGGTCTTGTAAGTTGCCCCAGGTAGCCTCCAATTTGTGATCCTCCTGTCTCAGCTTACTGAATGGCTGGGATTACAAGGTCACACCATGGTGCCAGCCTATTCCTAATCTTTATGCATGACTATTTAATATATGCCCACTCTACACACTTGCAAAGGACTATCTTACCTTTTATAATATTTATTGTTTTGATAATAACTTCAATGATACATTTTTAATGATACATTTATTGCATTATTACTAGGTGAGTAATAAGAGCAATATATTTATTCTATTTTATTACTTAATAAATGGATAAATCAATTATAATGAACCATTTCTTGTTTTCTTCTTAGGTGCTGGGGATTGAGTCCAGGACCTCATGTATGCCATATGTATATTCTATCATTGAGCCACACCCCCAGCCCCAAGAACCATATGTAAAATTATCAACAAAATATTAACTAAAACATTTCAACTTCCAATGTGTATTGCTTTATTCATTTTATTTTATTTTTTGACTATTACATTTGATTTTTTTTTTTTTTTTTGTGGCAGAACCAGGGACTGAACTCAGGCCCTTGCACTTGCCATTCTACTGAGCTATCTCCCCTTGACTATTATATTTGAAAGAGAAAATGAAGTCATGATAAAAAGTATGTATGACCTATACACAAAAGTTCATAGAAGCTTTATTCATAAACCAAAATTAAGAAGCATCCAGCATGTCCATCAATAAGTCAACGGACAAACTGATACATTCATATAATGAAATGTTATTCAGAAATGAAAGAAAATGAGCTACCAAACTACAAAGGCATCCAGGAACCTCCTTTAGTGCACTGCTAATTTGAAGAAGTCAGCCTGAAAAATGCTACATAAATATGATTACAGTTGTGTGACATTGCGAAAAGGGCAAAATTACAGAGACCACGATAACATTGGTGTTTGTCAAGTGTTTTGGAGGAGAAAAGGCTTAAATAGGAGGCTTTTAGGGAGGTATAGCTATTGTGGAGGTAGTGAGACGCTGTGGAGACATGAAATTATCATTTATTAAGACTTACTGAGAGTTGGCCAAATAGCTCAGTGGATTAAAGAGCCTGTTCAGGCATGTGCAGGGGTCTGAGGTTCAATCCCTGGCCTGCCGTGCCGGCCCCACCTGCGGGACGCACTGAGATGGTGATTGAGACTGGGCCTGGTGGCGCACACCTGTAATCCCAGCTCTTGGGAGGTTGAACACAGGCATCATGAGCGTCCAGTCTACGTAGTGAGCCCCTGCAGACCCTTACTACAGTACAAAAAGAAAAACAAAATAGAGCTATTGAAATTAGCAGCCCAGAGAGTGAGCCTTAGTGTATGAAACATTTAAAACTTCCTTTGACCAGGAGATCTCACTTAGGAATTCAGACTGGGACAAGAGAACCCAACTGGACCATGAGTGTACGAAACAACCCCGCAAGCGACGGGCGTCTGGAAGACTAACGGCCACGGAACTGCACAGAGCGAAACTCGAGCTAATAAAATTCTTTTCCGAGGGAGTTTGGGTTACTAAGTCTGATATATGTACACTGAAACTGAACCATAATGACTGTTTTTGTTGTTGTTTTGTTTCTACTATTTTGTTTTTGATACCAGGAATTGAACTTAGGGCCTTGTGTTTGTCAGGCAGGTGCTGCACCGCTGAGCTATATCCCTGGCCCAACTGAAAGATAATGTAAAGGAAAGGAAGATGGTGGGAGCCAGATTTTCTTCGTTAGCTTTGCTAACCATGTCATATGCCAAGTGTTTTCTGGCCTTGCTTTTTTTTTTTTTTCTTTTCTCTCTCTCTCTTTTGCGGAACCAGGGATTGAACTCAGGCCCTTGCGCTTGCCAGAGAAGCGCTTATTCTACTGAGCCATCTCCCTGGTCCTCCAAATGTTTTCTATAATCAATTAAATCTGGGCTGGTGAGATGGCTCAGTGGTCTAAAGCACCTACTTAGAACAAGCTTAGCAAAGCACAGGTACCCCGGTTCAATCCCCCAGCATCACATACCAGCCAGCCCCGCCCCCTGGTGGGCTGAGCTGGCCACACACACACACACACATACACATAAATAAAAAATTTAAAAAAAATAATAACTAAAAAAAATCAATTAAATCTGTAGTCATAAGATTTTTGATATAAATATTTTAATTCCATAAACTGGGAGCAGTGGAATTCATCTGTAATCTCAGCTACTTGGGAAGCTGAGACAGGAAGATCTCAAGGCCAAGGCCAGGCCAGGAAGTTTGGAGAGACCCTGTCCCAAAAACAAAGCAAAAACCAAAATCCAAAAACACTTCATCATCCCAGCCAATCAGCCTCAGGTGGAGGCAGGAGGATTGCTGAGCATTCAAGGCTAGCCTGCACTACAGAGTGAGTTCAAGGCCAGTCTGAGTTACATAGTGAGACCCTGTCTGTAAAATAAATAAATAGGACTGAGATATAGGTACTGTTTGCCTAGTATACATTTGACCCTGGATTTAATCCCTAGTAACATAAGAAAAATAAATAAATACATACATACATAAATGCCAGTATGGTGGAACACATTCATAATCCCAGTACTTAGAAGGGTGAGGCAGGAGAATCACCATGAATTCAAGGCCAGCCTGGGCTACACATTGAATTCAAGGCCAGAATTAACTACAGAGTAAGACTCTGTCTCAAAAAGTTTCAAAGAAATAATAAATAAGTAAAATAAAAATAAAGAGCACGAAAACCATCTTATCAGATAACTCTGTATTGGTTAAGATGTGAGGAAGTGATCAAAATTATAATTTTGCCTAAGGTTTTTCTTAGTGGTGCTGGGAACCGAGCCCAAGGCCTCACATACACTAGGCAAGTGTCACCACTAAACTACATCCCTAGCGTCCCAATGTTTCGTTGTTTAATACATAGAATGAAGCAAAATACAATTAAATAAAAGAAAAACATGTCAGTAAAAGTTGTTTGACAAATCTTGGTAAAGTATTTTGGATTAATTCCAGAAACTAAAAAAGTAAATAAGTATTGTTGGTCAGATTTTTTTTTTTCCTCCTGTAGTGGGGATTGAACACACAGCCTGGTCTTTGCACGGAGCTGCATCCCAAGCCATTTTAGTTTTTGAGACCGTCTCACTAAGTTGCCCTGGCTGACCTGATCCTCCCTGCTTCAGCCTCCGGAACAGCTAAGAGTGTAGGGATGCATCATTATGCCCAAATAGGCCAGACAGTTCTCATTTTTACCTGGTTACAAAACGGAAGAACCACAAAATATGACAGTATGACAGGTCATCATACTGGGTGTGACATTAAAATTTTGATCTTGATGTATTGTCACCTAAAGAATATATAAGGGCTTCTCAATAGCTGAGTAATAGTCATCACTAAATATTGTGGCATAAAGGTTCTCAGACTTTACTCAGTAGTTCACATGGATGTATGTGAACACAAATAGATACTGATAAACACAAATACACACTGTAACCCTGGAATTCTTGTTTGTTTTGAGACAGGGTCTCACTGTGTAGCCCAGACGGGCCTCTAACTTGTGAACTGATGTCTGAGCCCCTTGAGTGCTGGCATTACAGACCTGTGATTTTTTTTTTTTTTTTTTTTTTTTTTTTTTTTTTTTTAGTGTATTTGATACAAGGTCTCACTACACAGCTCAGACTTGAAGTGATCCTCTTGTCTCAGCCTCCCCAGCACTGGGATTACAGGTGTGTGCTACCATGCCTGGTCTTGGCAGCCAGCTCAGCACATCCAGGGGTGGGACCAGCAGGGCATGTGGTGCTGGGGATCAAACCCTGGTCCCTGCGCTTAAGCAGGCACTTAGTCCACCAAGCTATCTCGCTGGCCCTTAGGGCTGTAATTCTTATGTTGCCTACTTTTATTCCTACTCAAAATATAATAAGAACATTATTCCAAGTCATTAAATTATAAATATATGAAAATGGTAAAAAAAAAAAAAAAGAAAAGAAAATGGTTATTAATAGCTCCTTTCATAGTGATAACTAAGTATAAGCACAGGAAAGTGATGAAAGTACAGATAAGGCAGATTCCAAAAGGCAACTCCCAGGCACAGGGGAAGCCGAAGGACGGGGATAGCAGCTACCTCTCTCTGAGGAAATGACAAGATGTTGGCAAAAGAAAAAGATGAGGTCACAGGAAAGCCTGGGAGGAGGAGATATCTGCATAGGATGTGGAAACAACAAGCTGCAGCCCTCCTGCAGCTGAGGACGGGGTGCCTGAGCCCTACAGGCACAGAAGCCGAGTACATTCCCTAGATCCCGCCGGATGTGTTTTTGGCAACTGAAAATCGCTTTGAAAAGACGAAACAATTACCTTGTGACAAATGAGACCTGCCCTTGCCTACAGCTCCCCCAGGGGACCAAGTATCGGGTTCTGCCATCACACACAGCCTTTGTGTCAATCAAGAAGATGACTCCCCCTCTTGTCTCTTCTTCCAGGGACCTGCAGCCCTAAAGCAGGGCATAGGACACGGGGGCACATCGGCTGGTGTGCTAGCTTTCTGTTTCTATGACAAAATACCCCACAAAAAGGACCTAAAAGGAGGAAAAATTTACAGGGCGGGGCTGATGCCTTCAGTGCATGGTCCCCTGGCAGACTTGCTTGGGGTCTGTGAGGGCAGAATGGCACAGTTGGGAAAGCAAGGGAGCAGAGCGGAAGGGGAAGAAGAGAGGGAAGGAAAGAGACAGGAAGGGGCTGAGCATGCCATGTGCCTTTCAACTTCAGGGACTTACTTCCTCCCAGTAGGTCACCCTCTAAGGTTCCTATCAGCTCCCAATAGCCTATTAAATTAGGAACCCAACAATGCATTAATCCACTGATGAGCTCAGAGGCCTCATGAGGGAATCACTTCCCCAAGCCCTTGTCTCTGAATATTGCTGCAATGGAAACCAAATCTTCAACACATGAGTGCTGGGGGGACATTTTCAGTTCAAATCATTAACAGTTGGCTTAAGCTGCTACTCTACTCTTTGGCTAGAAGCCGCTGAGCAGAACTATATAGACACAACCTTGAAAATGGCCTGTCTGATATGATCAGTGACACCACTAAGAGGGAACAGCATTAGAGAATGTATGTGGGACAATAGTGGAAAAGAAGAGCAAGCAGTCCAGCTTGCAGCAGTAGAGTTAGGCTGATAAGGGGAATATAACATTATGTGACTTCAGTACCAAGCAGAGGAGCCTGGAGTGACAAGTTTACAGACAGAGTCTGAGAAAACTAACCTGGTACCTTCCTGTGGTGTAAATTAGCATAGGATAGACTAAAGCGACTATCTCAGCCCCAGCTCTAGCATTGACCTTTCCGATCATCTTCTTGTTAGCTGTAGGGAGTCTTTCTTGCACTATGGGATATTTAGCAGCACCTCTAGCCCTTTGCACCAGAAGTTCAAAACCCCTTCTCCCCCACGACATTAACAATTGGCCCTTGTCAATTGGCAAAACTGCCCTAGGTGAGAATCATGTCATAGATCATGCAGGAAATAAAGATGAAAGGGCCGAATGTCAGGCAAGGGTAGCAGTAAAACGTAAAAGCTTTGCCAAGTGTTAGGCAGAAGTGTGACTGGGAAGGGAGCAACGTAAGTTCAAACAGAACCCCAGAAAGAGGCACTAGAGGCCATGCAGTCTGAGATGCTTATAATTAGCTGGGCATGGCAACACACATGCTTGGATTCCTAGCACTCAGGAGGCTGAGGCAAATGGATCACACGTTTGAGGCCAACCAGAGCTACACAGTAAGCCTGTTTCAAAAAACAACCCAAAAATACAAAAACAAGCAAAAAGAATATGCTTAAAATTGCTTCCAATAGCACTAATCACGCCATCGATAAACCTCATTGGCTATTATACTGCCACTACACGAAGCTAACTGCTCATACTATGGTCAACTCATGAAGAGCAACTTGGTACATCCATTTGAAGGGTAGTTGGTAAAACCTATTTATCATCACAAAAGTTATACTTTCACTCAGAAATGCTATTTCTGGGAACATATCTTGAACAATTTAAGTAGAGATAAGCAATACTAATGTATAAAGCAACAATAAATGCACAAAAGCAAGGGACTTTGCTCTGAACGATACCTTTATGTCTATCATATTGCCTGTTAAAAGAATGGGCCAGATTTTAGAAGTCTATTCCCAAGAGAAATTGTACCTAAAGAAACAAACCCTCAGATGAGAGGGAAAGGCAGCTATCAAGAATGCATGCAGAAAAAGAATCAAGATATATCATACGGCAACTGGTCCTGGGGACACAACCTGCAATCTCAGCACTCCAGAGGCTGAAGCAGAGGATCGCCAGGAGTTTCTAGGCCAGTCAGGGCTACATAAGCAAGTTCAAGGTTAGTCTGGACTACATAGTGAGTAGTCTCAAAACAAAACAAAACAAAAAAATACAAAAAGGATGTATCATGTACAGGTACAAATTCCCTATGACGGGGCTGGAGAGATGGCTCAGTAGGATAAGCACTTGACTGGCAAACACAAGGATCTGAGTTCAATCCCCGGTTCCGAAAAAAAAAAAAAATTCCCTATGACGAATGTGATCATTATGTATACCTAAAATGTACCAATAAGCTTAATAAAAATGAAGAATGTACGCAAAGCCAGGTGTGGTGGTGTATACTGGTAATCCAACTACTGAGAGGCAGGAAGATAGCGCATCTGAAGCCAATTTGGGGAATTAGGTGAGACTCTCTTAATAAACAGGGCTGATCATGTAGTTCAGCCTTCCCTGGGTTCAGTCCCTGGTGCAGGCTGCGGGTGAGCGAGCACTCAGAAACATCTATTAACTTCTTTTTCAGAGAGGCAGGCTGACTACAAGGATTTGAACGGAAAAGAGGGCACGTTAGGGCTTCGCTCAGCGACGTTAGTATTGCAGAGTGAAAAGGTGCGGTTGAGCCTGGGATTTCTGCAGAATCTCGCACTCTGCCTGTGAGCGCTTCTGTAGAAGAACTGTGCCCTCTGGGAGAAGCTGCTGGGGACCATTCTGTTTACACAAGAGAGGGCGTTAGGAAGAACACCCTAATCACAACAGAAGGAAAAAAGAAGCGTCCTTCTGGAGTGTCGAGAAACTTGACTTTCAAGTTGCTCTCCGAATGTGGCCGCTTCGTC